GCCTCCAGCTCCATCCATGTTCCCACAAAAGACATGCTCTCATTTTTTATGGTTGCATAGTATTCCATGGTGTATATATACCACAGTTTCTTTCTTTTTTTTTTTGGAAACGGAGTCGCGCTCTGTTGCCCAGGCTGGAGTGCAATGGCGTGATCTCGGCTCACTGCAACCTCCACCTCCTGGACTCAAGCGATTCTCCTGCCTCAGCCTCCCAAGTAGTGGGATTACAGGCACACGCCATCACGCCCAACTAATTTTTGTATTTTTAGTAGAGATGGGGTTTCACCATGTTGGTCAGGCTGGTCTTGTACTCCTGACCTTAGGTGTTCCACCCGCCTTAGCTTCCCAAAGTGCTGGTATTACAAGTGTGAGCCCCCGTGCCCGGCTGTACCACATTTTCTTTATCCAATCGGTCACGGATGGGCATTTAGGTTTTTGTTTGTTTGAGATGGAGTGTCACTCTGTAGCCCAGGCTGGAGTGCAGTGGTGGCACGATCTTGGCTCACTGCAACCTTTACCTCCCAGGTTCAAGTGATTCTCCTGCCTCAGCCTGGCAAGTAGCAGGGATTACAGGCACCTGCCACCACACCCAGCTAATTGTGTTTTTAGTAGAGATGGGGTTTTACCATGTTAGCCAAGATGGTCTTGAACTCCTGACCTCAGGTGATCCGCCTGCCTTGTCCTCCCAAAGTGCTGGGATTACAGGCCTGAGCCACCAGGCTGGCCAGCATTTAGCTTGATTCCATGTCTTTGCTCTCGTGAATAGCACTGCACTCTCTAGATCCACATTTTCCCTCGTGGTAATCTCGTTCAGTTTTACGAGTTTTGCTGTGGTTTGAATGCTTGTGTCCCTCCAAAATTCAGGGTCTCGCTCTGTCACCCAGGCTGGAATGCAGTGACCCCATCACAGCTCACTGCAGCCTCAACATCCCTGGGCTCAGGCAATCCTCCCACCCCAGCCTCCTAAGTAGCTGCAACTACAGGCATGGGCCACCATGCCTGGCTAATTTTTGTGTTTTTTGTAGAGACAGGGTCTTGCCATGTTGCCCAGCCTGGTTTCAAAATCCTGGGCACAAGCGATCCGCCCACCTCAGCCTCTCAAAGTGCAGGGATTACAGGTGTGAGCCACTGCACCCGTCCCCAAGAGAGCTTTAAATATAATAAATGTGCTAATGATGCCAAACTTTTTTTTTTTTTTTTTTGAGACAGAGTCTCATTCTATTGCCCAGGCTGGAGTGCAATGGTGTGATCTTGGCTGACTGCAAACTCCGCCTCCCAGGTTCAAGTGATTCTCCTGCCTCAGTCTCCTGAGTAGCTGGGATTACAGGTGTGCACCACCATATCTAGCTAATTTTTGTATTTTTAGTAGAGACGGGGTTTTACCATGTTGGCCAAGCTGGTCTCGAACTCCTGACCTCATGATCCGTCCACGTTGGCCTCCCAAAGTGCTGAGATTACAGGCGTGAGCCACCGCGCCCGGCCATGATGCCAGACTTATATTCCCAGGCTGGACATCTCTGTGAACTCTATAGTCATATATTCTACTTATACAGTCAACTGCCTTGTAACCTTAACATGTAGCATAAGTGAGTAACACATTTTTATTTGGCTGAGCCGCTGAGCACTTGGGGTTGTTCCTGCAGCATACCCAGGCCAGGCCCATCCTGACATACACACCCCTCCACCACACATCCAAACGTCATCACCACTTGCCAGGACAGGTCGAGTGTCCCTTATCCAAAATGCTCGGGACCAGAAGTGTTTCAGATTTTGGATTTTGGACTATTTGCATTATACTTGCCTGGTTGAGCATTCCATATCCAAAATCCAAAAGGCTCCAATGAGCACTTCGTTTGAGTGTCATGTCGGTGCTTACAAGGTTCAGATTCTGCAGCATCTCAGATTTCGGACGTGAATGCTCATCCTGTACTTGCCGCCCCTCCAGCCACCCCACATGCTGCTGCTTCTCAGTGGCCAGTGCATCGGCCACCTCTCCATTTTCTTTCTTTTTTTTTTGAGACAGAGTCTTGCTCTGTCGCCCAGGCTGGAGTGCAGTGGCGCGATCTAGACTCACTGCAAGCTCCGCCTCCCGGGTTCAAGCCATCCATTTTCTTTCTTGATAGAGTCTCGCTCTACCACCCAGGCTGGAGTGCTATGGCGCGACCTCAGCTCACTGCAACCTCCACCTCCTGGCTTCAAGCGATTCTCCTGCCTCAGCCTCCTGAGTAGCTGGGATTACAGGCGTGCGCCACCACGCCTGGCTAATTTTTGTATTTTTAGTAGAGACAGGGTTTTGCCCTGTTGGCCAGGCTGGTGTAGAACTCCTGGCCTCAAGTGATCCACCTACCTCGGCCTCCCAAAGTGAGCCACCGCACCCAGTCCCACCTCTCCATTTTCAAACACGCCAGACATGTCCCAGTTTAGGGCCTTTGCACGGGCTGTTCCTTCTGCCAAGAACGTTCTGCCCTGGATAGCCACACGGCTCACTCCATCTCCTTCCGCTGCGTGTTCCAATGTTGTTTTCTAAGAGGATGGCTCTGCCCAGCCCTGCACCAGGACCTCTGACCGCCTTATGGCGATGGACTTGTTCTCCCCATTGCATTTCTCCCTCGCCAACACGGCGTACAGTTCCTCATTACATGTACGTTCTGCCCGCCTCACTCGAGTATGAGCAGGGGCTTTCACTGATTTTGTTCATTGGTGTGCAGCAGTTTGAGCGGTGGAGGGGTGAAAGCCCAGCTGGAGTAGGCTGCCAGGAGACTGGGGTGGTGGGCAGAATGCCCCACAAAGATGTCACGCCCTCATGCCTGCACCTGTAACATTATGTTACATAGCAAAAGGGACTTTGCAGATGTAAGTAGGTTGCCAATTAGTGACCTTAAAATAGGGAGATTATCCTGTTTATCTGGGTGGACCCAATCTAATCACAAGAACACTTAAAGGCATAAAGCCTTCTCCAGCTGAAGGTGGGAGAAATGGGACAGAAAGGATCAAAGATGTGAAGTACTAGAAAGGCTGGCTTTGGCAGGGTGCAAAAGCTCACACCTGTAATCCCAGCATTTTGGGAGGCCGAGGTGGGCAGATCACTTGAAGTCAGGAGTTCAAGACCAGCCTGGCCAGCATGGTGAAACCATGTCTACTAAAAATACAAAATTCAGCTGGGCATGGTGGCAGGCGCCTGTAGTCCCAGCTACTCGGGAAGCTGAGGCAGGAGAATCACTTGAACCCGGGAGGCGGAGGTGGCAGTGACCCGAGATCATACCACTGCAGTCCAGCCTGGGTGACAGAGCCAGACTCTGTCTAAAAAAAAAAAAAAAAGTCTTGCTGGTGTTGAAGACGCGAGTGACCTCTAGAAGCTGAGAACAACCCTGGGCCCGGCAGCCAGCAAATGGAGACCTCACACAACCACGTGGAGGTGAATGTCAACAACCTGAAGGAGCCTGTAGCCTGCGTCTCCCCTAGGGCTCCTGCTAAAAGCTGAAGCAGCCGACACCCCGATTTCAGCCCTGAGACCTGCAGCAGAGAAGCCACCAAACCCACCTGCACTTCTAACGCGCAGAACTGTGAGATAATAAATGGGTGCTCTTTTGTGGTGGTTATAAAGTGATAGAAAACGAATTAACTAGGAGATGAGAGCAGATGCCAAGCACAGACAATCTGTTAAGAACTTTTGCTGCGATGGGAAGCAGGAAAATGAGGCAGTGGCTGGAAGGGGACGGGGGAGTCAAGGGCTTCTTTTTAAGGTGCCTGCCCATGGGAGAGGGATGCTGCAGTGAGAGGAAGCGCCGCCCCAGCGTTACAGAATTCCACCTCACAGGACACGGAGGCAGGGCTCACATTCATACTTGGGTAGAATGTGTAGATAAAGGCTTGTGTTGCGCCAGGTATGAGTTCCCAAGCCAGTTGCTCTGTGTCAACACCTGCAGGTCTTTCTCAGCTTTGGAGTCAAGAAGTTACCTTGCCAGGAGCAGCCTCCAACCAATGACTGCAAGGTGAGGGGGGAATGCTGGGTCCCCCTGCAGCAGGGTGAGGGGACAATGCCTTGGCTCCCCTGGCCCCCGGGAAGGGACTCTGAGAATGGTTCCTACATGACCTGCTGCCACAGGAACTGGACTGGTAGCACCCCCTTCTCTGCCTCACACCCCCATTCTCCTGCTGGTGTCTCCTGGGGTCTTCCCTCAAGCTAACAAATTGAACTTTTTTTTTTTGAGACAGAGTTTCACTCCGTTCCCGGCGGCGGGAAGCAGCTTACGAGGGCCACCGCAAGGGAGGAGAAGGGCGACCGGCTCGCAGAGCGCCACGGACCCGGCGCGAGTCCCCAGCCGCGCTCCGCACGGCCCCTCCAGGAGCAGCGCGACGGCCCGCACAAAGCTTCCCGCGAAACTGACGTCGGCGCGCGCAGGCACCGCCCCCGACCTCGCCCCTCCCCCGCGCTCGCCCCGCTCCCCAGAGCGCCGGCGCACTCGCCCTCCTCCCATTGGTTGCTGCGGCGCGGCGCGCTCCGGCCGGCGCCGTGCGCGCCTAGCGATTGGCGGAGCGGCGGCGGGCCGGGGGGTGTGTCCCGGGCTGCGCCCCGCCCCTCCGCTCCGCTCGCTGTGGTGCGCGCGGTGGCGGCGGCAGCGGCGGCGGCGCGTGGCAGGTCCGGCGGGCGCGAGGCGGCGGCGGAGGCCCGAGCCCGGCCCAGCCTCGTCCCGCCCGGGGCCCGCCTGGCTGCTACCCCGATCCCGGCTCCGGTCCCGTCCTGCCCCGGCGCGCCGCGGCCTCGCCCCGGCCCCCGCCCGGCGCCTCCCGAGGGAGCGGCGCTGCCGGCCGAGAGCGCAGGCCCGGCCATGACCGACTTCAAATTGGGTATCGTGCGGCTCGGCCGGGTGGCCGGGAAGGTGAGCGGCGCGGAGCCCGCGGCCCGGCCCGTCTCGCCCGTCTTGGCCTCCGCGCGGGGCCGGGGGCCGGGGCCGGGGGCGGTTGTGCGGGCGGCGGCCGGGGCGGGGGCGCGGAGCCCGGGATGGGCCCCAGCGGGGCGGGGGACGCTGCGCGGGCCCGGCTGCTGGCCCCGCGCGGGTGCAGCTTCCTCTCGCAGGCCGGCGGGCGCGCACCCCTCGGCTGCGGAGCGCACCTGGCCGCCCTCGGCCCTGCCCTGCCGGAGGTGGAGGCCACGGCCCTGTCCCGAGCCGGGCGCGGAGATGCGTGGCTCGAGCCCGGCCGCGTTCTCCCGGAGCCCTCCCCGTGGTGTCGGGGAGCCGGGGCCTAGCGCGGCGTCCGGGCTGCCGGTGCGGCCACACGGTTTGAACACAGCGCCCTTTCCCAGGCAGCGCCACCTCCACACCTCTCGCCGAGGCGGGTCTGGTGTGGGCTCTTCTGTGCCTCGCAGTTCTCAGCGGGGCTTCGGGCTCGTTTTAACGCTGCCAGGGGTTGGCCAGGGTAGGCTGAGCCTCGGGCTCAGAGCAGAGAGGAAGAAGCCTGGGCCCTGATGCTGCAGACTCAGGCCCTTCCTCGATTTCTCTTCTTACCTGGCCCCCACGCTCCACGTTTGAGGCTGGGGATTCCATGGCACCTGTGGGCACTGAGGCTTGGCGGTTTCTCGGAGCCACCTGTGCAGCTGCACCAGCCAGGGTCCTTACCCGGATGGGAGCCCTGTTCCTGTCACCAGCGGCTGCAGCTTCTGGTGGGAGAGAGGAGCGGAGGCAGTGTCAGGCGGCGTCAGGTAAAACAGGTTCAGATCCCAGAAGAAGAACTGCCAAGAGGGAGACTGGCCCGTTCTGGGACCTGTTCCTGTTTCCTGCCCCTGCTGCAAGAGCATAGGCAGGGCCTGCTGGGGAGGAGGCTTTTTCCCACCAGGGAAGGGTGGGCTCCCCAGTCAGGTCAGAGACCTGAGACCCCTTCTGATTCCACCACTGATGACATTGTCATCCATTATAGCTTTCCTTTGGAACATTTCAGATGGACAAAAAACTGAAAAGGGCAATTGAATGAGCAGCTCAGCTTAATAAACACACCCTAATCAAAACCTTTTGGCTCTTCTGCCTCATCCCCAGACCCTCCCTCAGCTCAGTGAAACCGTTTCTGCCTAGGTTTATTGGTGTGTTAAATGTTCGGTGCCACTGTTGGGGTTAGGCCTGCGAGGATACCAGCTCCTCTGGCGCAGATGAAAGTGGTCTACTGTCTTTTAACCAGTCTGCCTGTGTTTTGGTGTAGACTGCACCACCCCAAATGGTGGAATGAGGCCCCTGTGTGCTGAGCTGTCTTGGTCTGAAGAGGCCTGTGGTTACTTTCCACTTCACAGGAAAATGCAGCAGGCTCCTGCCTGTTCTGGTTATAAGGTTACTGCACCTCACGCAGATCTCAAATGTAATGATTTGAAACATGTGGTTAACTTCCAGACCAAATACACGCTGATCGATGAGCAGGACATCCCGCTGGTGGAAAGCTACTCCTTTGAGGTAAGTAAGGATGCTTGTTCCCTCCCTTAATGCTTGTGGTCAGTGCCCAGGAGGGTCACGAGGAGCGAGCCCTCCCCTGTGCTGCAAGAGCAGGCGGCCCCACAAGTGGACATCTGGGGCTGGCCTGTGAGCCCTGAGCCCTCAGTCCCACATGGAACCGTGGCCCCGCAGAACCTGGCTGTTGCTCCCACTGTGGCCCACGTGGCTTGGCGACCCTGGTCTTTCCTCACTTTCACCCCAGCTGTTAGCTCTTCTTGAAAGCAAATGGAATGTTCTCACGTTTGCGATTGTGTCACGTGGACCATGTCTGTTAGCTCGAAGACCTTGTTCCTTAGAGCTTGCCGCCTGCTGAGCCTGCCCTAGCCCCTCCTGGCTGCCCAGCTGCCTCTCGTTCTCTGCTCTCATGGGGTCTTCCTGCCTCTTCCCAGCTTCCGTTCCTGCCGCTGAGCTTGGCCTCCCTTACCACACTTTATCTCTGTGCACCCACACATTCACAGTAGTGACTTGTCCAGGGGTTTCTCTATCTCACTGCACTGTGGGCTTTTTTCAAGAGTAGGAAAATGTATTTGTCTATGTCCATTGTATTTTGCAGAGTTGTTTGTGAGTGTTTCTTGCCTGGATAGACAGAGTGGTGGTGGGCCACGCTGGCCCCTGGGAGCCACGTGCCTATGGGAGGCTCTGCACTCCCCAGGGTCTCAGGGACAGGGCTGGCATTTGTCCCTCTGGCTTGCTTGTTTCACTTGGTTTTTCTAAGAGGAAATTGAAGTGTTGCTGAGAATTGGAGGCTTTTTAACAGCTCTTTCCCTTGTTCCTTCTCAGGCCCGAATGGAAGTGGATGCAGATGGAAATGGTGCTAAGATATTTGCCTATGCCTTTGACAAGAACCGAGGAAGGGGCTCCGGGAGACTCCTTCATGAACTGCTGTGGTGGGTGTTTCCAAGCTGCCTCTGCCCCCTGCCACTGGGCTCCTGGGTGAGCTCCGATGGCACAGGGCGCCTGGAGCCCCCTGCCCCACTGAGGCCCTGCCTTGCCTTCCCTGAATCTCGCAGTTATTTTTGTGTGCTTTGCCACTAACTCAAAGGAATGAATGATTTCTATATTACGCTTCAAACACCAAGTGGACTTTCTGCTGGAAGCTTGCCCGGGACTGGCGGCCTCTGGAGGGACGGTGGTTGCTCCCCTTGCTGGTTTTTTGCTGAGCCCCCTGGTGTGCATGGTGGGGACCACTCAGATGGGGAGCTGTCTCCAGGCCATCTGCTCAGGTGGTTTTGCATTCCACCCTTGGCTGTCTGTGCTCCGAAGTCCAGGGGCCAGGTCCTCCCTGTATCCCTGTCCTGTTTGGGCCACAGATCAGGTGCTTGGGTTTCTCTCAGCAGCTTCCGCCTGAGGTACCCTCCTCCAGAGGAGCAGGGGCCTGATCAGATCACATGGCTGACGTTTCTTGCTGGAGGACTTTGGTGCCTGACCAGAACTATCTGTGAGGGTGGGAGGCAGTGATGCAGGGTTAGATGCGGGGTTTGCTGTCTGTTTCTAGGGAGCGGCACCGGGGGGGCGTGGCCCCGGGCTTCCAGGTGGTACACCTCAACGCTGTGACTGTGGACAATCGCCTGGACAACCTGCAGCTGGTGCCGTGGGGCTGGCGGCCCAAGGCTGAAGAGACCTCCAGCAAACAGAGGTGGGTCTTCTCAGGGCCCGGTGATGCTGGCAGAGGTGCCTTTTGAGGAGGGCCGCCTCCAAAGCTCTTGTTTCCAAGAGGGTCTTGTGTTCCTCCTCTGAGCCCTGATGCTTCTGTCTGTTTTGGGACTTTCATTGTTTTTCCCCAAAGTGTGGAATCCTTTTCTTTATGGGAGCATGAAGGATCTTGGTATGTGTTTTTGCATTGCTCTTCTGATAATTGGCTCTGGGAACCTCCCTTTAGCTGGCATGACAAAGTGGGGAGAAGGGCTGCTTGCTCCAGGGCAGGGCCCGCGCTGGGACTCAGTGTGAGCAGGGTTTCTGCCCCATACCCCGTAGGCATCAGCCTTCTCACCTCAGGATTCCTCCCTTCTCTCCTCACCCCGAGATTCTTCCCTTCTCTCCTCACCTCAGGATTCTTCTCTCCTCACCTCAGGATTCTTCTCTCCTCACCCCAGGATTCTTCCCTTCTCTCCTCACCTCAGGATTCTTCTCTCCTCACCTCAGGATTCCTCCCTTCTCACCCCAGGGTTCCTCCCTTTTCTCCTCACCTCAGGATTCTTCTCTCCTCACCTCAGGATTCTTCTCTCAGAGTTCCTCCTTCTCTCTCACCAGGATTCCTCCTTCTCACCCCCAGGGTTCCTCCCTTTTCTCCTCACCTCAGGATTCTTCTCACCTCAGGATTCTTCTCACCTCAGGATTCTTCTCACCTCAGGATTCTTCTCAACTCAGGATTCCTCCCTTTTCACCCCAGGATTCCTCCCTTCTCTCCTCACCCCAGGGTTCTTCCTTCTCTCCTCACCCCAGGGTTCTTCCTTCTCTCCTCTCACCCCAGGATTCCTCCCTTCTCTCCTCACCCCAGGATTCTTCTCTCCTCACCTCAGGATTCTTCTCTCCTCACCCCAGGATTCCTCCCTTCTCTCCTCACCCCAGGGTTCTTCCCTTCTCCTCACCCCAGGGTTCTTCCCATACTCTCCCTCACCCCAGGATTCCTCCTTCTCCTCACCCCAGGGTTCTTCCCTTCTCTCCTCACCCCAGGATTCTTCTCTCCTCACCCCAGGATTCTTCTCTCCTCACCTCAGGATTCTTCTCTCCTCACCCCAGGATTCTTCTCTCCTACACCCCAGGATTCTTCCTTCTGTCCTCACCCAAGTTCCTCCTTCTCTCCCTCACCTCGGGATTCTTCTCTCCTCACCTCAGGATTTCTTCTCTTCTCAACTCAGGATTCCTCCTTTTCACCTCAGGATTCCTCCCACTTCTCTCCTCACCCCAGGATTCCTCCCTTCTGCTCTTCTCACCTCAGGATTCTTCTCTCCTCACCCCTCACCCCCAGGATTCCTCCCTTCTCTCCTCACCTCAGGATTCTTCTCTCCTCACCCCAGGATTCTTCTCTCACCCCAGGATTCTTCTCTTCTCAACTCAGAGTTCCTCCCTTCTCACCCCAGGATTCCTCCACCTACTCTCTCCTCACCCCAAGTTCCTCCGCTTCTCTCCTCATCTCGGGATTCTTCTCTCTCACCCCAGGATTCTTCTCTTTACTCAACTCCCAGGATTCTCCCCCTTCTCACCCCAGGGATTCTCCCTTCTTCTCACCTCAGGATTCTTCTCTCCTCACCTCAGGATTCTTCTCTTCTCAACTCAGGATTCCTCCCTTCTCACCCCAGGGTTCTTCCCTTCTCTCCTCACCTCAGGATTCTTCTCTCCTCACCCCAGGATTCTTCTCTCCTCACCCCAGGATTCTTCTCTCCTCACCTCAGGATTCCTCCCTTCTCTCCTCATCTCAGGATTCCTTTCTGTGCACACAGATGGGTCTTTTTGTTGTGTTCTTTTGCTAAACAGTTTTCGTTAAGCAAAAGTTTAAAGCAGAGAATGTGTGGTTCAGGGCTCAGCCCTTGGCCCCCCACTTGCCTGTGATCCTGAAAGCAGTGCTTTGCATGGGCTTCCCACGTGGGAGGACAGTTCCTGCTGGCCCTAGAATCAGCCAGGCTGTGAACTTCATGGAGCCCTTGGGAAGAGCCGAGGGACCAGCAGGATGGGGGTTGGGAACCCAGATGAGCCAGGGAGTCCCCAGCCACACACGCTTCGCTGACATGTTCCCCAGTCGCCCTGGGGCTTCTGGGCATGTCCTCAAGCCTCTGGGCAGCCTTTCCTGGTGCAAGCAGTGCGAACTGCCCTAGCAGATGGTTATCAGCAACGCTGGTAAGGTTTAGTGTTTTGGGCTTGGTGATGGTTGGTGGCTGTGGGTAGAATCTTTGCAGTTGTCACCTCAGGGTCATGCTAAAGCCCCGCGCGGCCGAGGTGGAAACAGTGGGAACACCTGAGACACTGGTTGGTGATGTGGGGACAGTCCCCAGGTCTCCAAAATGCCACCCCCAAACTGCTGTTCCTGCCACCCTGGAGGGAGTCCTGCAAGTCCTCCCCATCCCCTCCTCACTGGGCCTCTCAGGATGAAGGCAGAGCCTGCGGTGTCTTTCGTTCTTGTTGGGCTAGTGGTTTTGTTCCCTGCTCTGTTTATTTAATGTAATTAATTAATTTTACAGATGGGTCTCACTGTGTTGCCCAGGCTGGTCTCAAACTCCTGGCTTCAGGAAATCCTCCTGCCTCAGCACTTTTTTTTTTTTTTTTTTTTTTTTGAGACAGAGTTTGGCTGCATCGCCCAGGCTGGAGTGCAGTGGCGCGATCTTGGCTTGCTGCAGCTTCTGCCTGCCTGGTTCAAGCAATTCTGCCTCAGCCTTCCTAGTAGCTGGGACTACAGGTGCCCGCCACCACGCCTGGCTAACGTTTGTATTTTTAGTAGAGACATGATTTTGGCATGTTGGCCAGGCTGTCTTGAACTCCTGACCTCAGATGATCCGCCTGCCTCAGCCTCCCAAAGTGCTGGGATTACAGGTGTGAGCCACCACGCCTAGCCCCGCCTCAGCCTTTTGAGTAGCTGAGATAACAGGTGTGCACCACCATGCCCGGTCCCTGCTCTAATATTAGAGTTTTGACCCTTCTCTCATACTGCTTGTGAGTGACGCCAATCCTCTTATGATTGTTGGATGGGATTTTTTTCTTTCGGGGATTATGTTAGCTGGAACTTTGGGTTGCAAGAAACAGAAACAGCTCAATTTGGCTGAAACAAAAATAGGGTACGTTTTGGTATCCTGACTGAAATGTGGAGAGCCAGGGATGCTGCTGCCTCCAGCTCTGCGCCCCCACTGCCGGCTCCTCTCCGAGAGGCGGCATGCGCACTACCCAGCACCTGTGGAGTGAAGCAGGCACCCTGTTCTGGTGGTGTCTGGGGAAGCCCTGGGATGAACTGTAGTTAGCTTGCTTTGAATCACTTCTCTACATGAAGTCAGAGTTGTGTCACATGAAGTCAGAGTTGTGTCATCCACGGGAAGGGGAAGGAGTGCGTGGCAGGCAAAGCAGCATCCGTAGCATCTCCTCCTGCGTTGTCCCACATTGATACATGCTCAGTGTTGATGCTGGGATGCGCCCTCCCCGACTCCACAAGTTCCCCCACTGCCCACCACTCCACCAGGCGATGTCATCTGTCCCTGCCGTGGTACGGGTCATTTCAGTCGGTTCTCAATAAGACTCAGGGTCCGGCCAGCCTGTGACTGAATGTTACCTTGAATCCTCTCAGCACCCTTCCTAGTCAGGAGGGGAGATAACTGCCGTTAAGAACAGCTGTTTGGAAAGGGGGTGTTGGGCTGGTGCTCCTGGTCAGCCCATTCTCCGTGGGCACAGCAGGATGAGTTGCGCTGAGGCTGCGGCCTTATACAACCCCCTGCTGCAGGAGGTGGCCTGTGGTGGCTCAGGACTGATCAGGCTCGGCCATCTTTGGTTTGCCAACGTGGGGTTTTAGAACCCAGCAGGTATTGGGCCTCTTGTGCTGGGTCAGCAGCCCAGGCCACAAGCAGAAGTCAGCTAGCCAGTGTGGGCCTGGCGTCTGAATGGCTGGGTGCTGTGCGCCCTTCTGGATCCCAGTTTGTGGCCTCCCTGTGGTCTGGCTCTTTGTGGTGGGGTCACCCTGTCTTTGTCAGGCCTGGGCTGTTGCTCTGCTTTCCTGGCACTGTGTCAGCTCAGCCCCCACAAAAGGGGCCTGTTGGCAAAGGGGTGTTTTCCTTTTCTGTCTTCAGAAGCCAGCAGTGTCTGAAACTTGCCTCTGTCTGGTGGGACCTCACTAACATCTTCCCATGTCCTGATCCTTCCACCTTTTAACCAAGTCTCCTCAGGGTCTGGCCTCAGAGAACAGGGTTGTTGGGGTGGTTTATGCAGGTCCTTTACTCTGTGATGCAGCAGGGCTGGGGCTGCCCACACTTGCCTCTGAGCAGCCAGTGCTCGCTCCAGGGCCTGTTCTGTACAACACGTGTACAGATGGACGTAGGGCAGCTCCCGGCATGGAAGGGGAGGTGGACCGACAGGGCAGTAATGGGCACCTCTGCAGGTCAAGGGTAAGGAGAGGGGCTGCCTTGCTTTGCACAGGGGCCTGACCTGGGCCCTGCCTCCTGCTACTGTGTGCCTGTCAGTCCCAGGTGCTGGGGACAGGGTGACAGATGAGGCGGTGCTTATGCGTGAGTGGGAAGACAAGACACAATATTTACTGTCAGGTAGTGAAAAGCACATGCAGCAGGGATGCGCCAGAGGAGACTGGAATTCGGGCCGGGTGTCCTGGGCAGGATGGCACTCTCTGGAGTTATCACATCACCCGCCGTGTGCTGGCCCCATTTGGCCAGAGTGCACTGAAGTGTCTGTTTCTTTCTTTAAGGGAGCAAAGCTTGTATTGGCTTGCAATTCAGCAGCTGCCTACAGACCCTATAGAAGAACAGTTTCCTGTCCTAAATGTGACCCGGTACTATAATGCCAACGGGGATGTAGTGGAAGAGGAGGAGAATTCTTGCACCTACTACGAGTGCCACTACCCTCCCTGCACGGTGATTGAGAAGCAGGTGGGTGTGCTGCAGTGCGGCCTGGTCCTTGGCACCTCTGCCCTGTAGCCCAGCCTTGGTTTGGGGTCTTGCCCTCCCACCGCAGGGCCCCATTCCCCGGAGACCACTTGGACTTTTCCACCAGGGTGGTCTCCCTTTGCCCTTGTGCTGGCCTGACCAGGGCCCAGGCCCTCCAGCCTTGGTACGTGGTGTTTTGCAGGGTCCGTCAGATTGTCTGTGCGATGCAGTCTTTGCCCCACACTGCATCCCAGGCATGACGGTGAAGCCACAAGTGTTCTGTATTTCAGCTCCGGGAGTTCAACATCTGTGGGCGCTGCCAGGTGGCCCGGTACTGTGGCTCCCAGTGCCAGCAGAAGGACTGGCCAGCCCACAAGAAGCACTGTCGGGAGAGGAAGCGTCCCTTCCAGCATGAGCTTGAGCCAGAGCGATGACGGGCGGGAGAGCCGCACACACTCGCAGCCCCCGGGCTCTACCCTGGGCACAGCAGAGACAGACTGGTGGTTGAACCTGGAGGTGCCGAAAAAGCCAGCTGTGGGCCCAGGACAACCGCCGTGAGACTCCCGATGTCACAGGCAGTCTGTGTGGTTATAGCGCCCCTCAGTGTTCATCTCCAGCAGAGACAACGAAGGAGGCTCCCACCAGGACGGTTCTCATTATTTATATGTTAATATGTTTGTAAACTCATGTACAGTTTTTTTTGGGGGGAGGCAATGGGAAGGGTAGAAATTACAAATAGAATCATTTGCTGTAATCCTCGAATGGCAAACAGTCAGGCCACGTGTCTAAAAACTGTCCTGTAGCTGAAGCTTCTCCTCTGGGCCACGGGAGCCCCATGAAGCGCGGCCTGCACAGGAGTTGTGTCCACAAAGGCAAAGTAAAGGGGTGGAATCATCCGGCGTCTCGGACATTCTCTGCTCCGCCTCCCTCTTGTGCTGCTTAGGGTGAGGTCATCTTGAGTGGAGCCGAATCCCTGTGGGTGAGGGCAGGAGGACGTGCCCTTGCTCCTGGTGGGCCCTTCTGAGGAGCAGGTGAACTCAAAACTTCCTGAGTCCAGCAGTGATCGTGAGTGAGACTCTGTCCTTGTCTTGTGGCAGGACTGGTGCGGGTGCTAAATCAGCTGCCCACTGTTTCATTGGGAGTGGGATGCTCTAGCCCCTGACATTGGTTGGTTCTTGCCTGATTTATGCGTGAAGTGGCTGGGAGCTCAGCAGTGACAGCTTCTGCCCAGAAGAATCCACAGGGCATGTTCAGCAGGCCTGCTGCCGACAGTGGAGGGGGCTGGCCAGCCAGGGTGAGGTGAGGGCCTCACTTCTCCATCCCTCTGCAGGCCTGTGGCTTCTAGGATAGCCCTCCCTCCTTGGGGAGCCCCAGGTGTCTGGGGCTGGTCAGCATCTTGTACCCATAGAGCCGCCCCAGGGAAACATGCCAGGCTGTGTGGCTGGGATCCTGCCTGTCTCCAGGTGTGCCCAGCCAGAGGCCTTGCTTCTTGGGAGCTGAAAGCCTGGCCAGTCCGACTCTGACCTGTCTGGTCTGGTCCGGTCCAACCCTGTGTTGGTCCCGCAGGTTCCTGTTACACTTTCCCCTCTTGGAGCTCCACTGCCACGTTCCAGGACGCCCTGTGTGTTCTCATTGCTGTTCCTGGCTGGGCTGACCTTTTTGTCTGTAAGCAAAACTTCCAGTAGCTTCTCTGGCAGTACCCTGGAGGCTCCTGAAGAACAGGCCTGCTGAAAGTGGGTGATAGCAACAAACTCTGCAGGATTTCCTGGAGTTTAGAGAACTGCATGTACCCACATCAGGCCCTAAGAAGCCCCCTTTGCTGCTGTGAAGGTCGGGGACATTTTTTGCTGAGTAGGTGAAAGCTGTCAGGGAGGGGAACATATGTGTCCCTAGAGATGGTGGGTCAGCAGGTTGGGGTTTGGGGCAGTCTTCAGGCCTGGAGCCCTGAGTGCCTTCAGGCAGCTGCTTTCAGATGGAGTCTGAGGATAGGCACGGTGTGCGGGGGTCCCTTTGCCTGCATCTAGGGAAGTGGCCATGTTATCCCCTGACCAGCAGGGCTGCCTTGTTTGGCAGTCAGTTATTCATCAGAAAAATGCACCGGAAGAAGTGCCTAGGGTCTCCCACCTGTGAGACACCATGCTGGGGAAGGGGCGGTGCAGGTTCTAGGTTTGCATGTGGCAGCTCCTCCAGGCCTCACCCCAGCAGGTGGCACCGTGAGGGTGGGATGGGCCCCACCACTGCTTCCCTCTCATCTGACACCCAGTCCTCTGGTCGTCTCCCCTTCTGTGGCCCCGACTTCTTGGTCTTTGTAGCCGGGTATCTAAGACACTCTATGAGGACATCCAGATGGCCGCATTGTGGGGCTGCTTCTATGAAGCTTGTTTGGAGCATGGTGCATTGGGATGCTTCACCTGGCCACTCTCCTTCCCACGTAGATGTGTGTGGTTGAGGCCCTTTTGGAACGCCCTGCTGCCTTCCTGGCCAGCCTTTTCTGCGCCTCTGTCTCTGCTGCGGTCTGAGCTGTTGGCTCCCCGCCATGTCTTCAGCCACAGCCCTGCTTGAAGCCCTGAGGCTGAATACCCAGGCACCCGTATATTTCAGTCAAGTCCGTCTTAGCTTCCTGGAGCTGCCGTAACAAAGCAGCATGAGCTGTGCAGCCTGAAGCAGCAGGAATTCACGCTCTAGGTTCTGGAGGCTGAAGTCTCAGATGAAGGCGCAGGCAAGGGCCCTCAGGTGTGGATGCCTCCTCCCAGCCAGGGGCCTGGCCTGCCTCCCTGTGGTCTGCACAGCGATGGCCCTGCAAGTCTTCTGCATCAGCTTTCCCTTCTGTGGACTCCAGCTCCTCTGGGTCAGGGCCTACGCCGTGACCTCATTTTAACCCAGCTGCTTCTGAGAGCCCCTGTTTGCTAATGAGGATGCCCTCTGAGGTGCTGGGGTCTTCAGTCCATTGTTTTTTGGGGCATAGTTCAACCTGTAAGGGCCCGAGGGGTTCTTCCTGCCCGCTGCACACATTCAGACCTTGGACTGCAGTAAAGAAAGTAAGTTTAGGGCCGGATGCGGTGGCTCACGCCTGTAATCCCAGCACGTTGGGAGGCCGAGGCGGGTGGATCACAAGGTCAGAAGGTCGAGACCATCTGGCTAACACGGTGAAAGCCCGTCTCCACTAAAAATACAAAAAATAGCTGGGCATCGTGACACGCCCGTAGTCCCAGTTACTCGGGAGGCTGAGGCAGGAGAACGGCTTAAACGCGGGCGGCGGAGCTTGCAGTGAACTGAGATTGCGCCACTGCACTCCAGCCTGGGGGACAGAGCGAGACTCCGTCTCAGAAAATAAAAATTAATAGACACGGGCCGGCCACGCCACGTGGGAGATGGAGTTCGTCCTCAGATCATCTTGTCCAAAGCTCCGAGGTTAGGGGTATTTTCTTTTTTTGAGGCGGAGTCTCTCTCTGCCGCCCAGGCTGGAGTGCAGTGGCCGGATCTCAGCTCACTGCAAGCTCCGCCTCCCGGGTTTACGCCATTCTCCTGCCTCAGCCTCCCGAGTAGCTGGGACTACAGGCGCCCGCCACCTCGCCCGGCTAGTTTTTTGTATTTTTTTAGTAGAGACGGGGTTTCACCGTGTTAGCCAGGATGGTCTCGATCTCCTGACCTCGTGATCCGCCCGTCTCGGCCTCCCAAAGTGCTGGGATTACAGGCGTGAGCCACCGTGCCCGGCCTAGGGGTATTTTCAAAGGCAGTTTTGGGGGAGGGGGGCGGCGGCCAGGCGACTGGTGCCGATAACCACGTCCACCTGCTGAGCCGCTCCTGGGGGGCCCTGATGCAGCCACGGGTGTCAGACAAGCAAAGACCCTGGAAGGCGGTCTCCGAGGGGCAGCTCCGCCATGGCGGGTTCGCAGGAGGCAGGCAGGGTGCGCCTGCGGCCTCGGGGTGCTGGGCTTCGTGCGGCGCGGGCTCCTCCTCAGCTTGACCAAGGCGTTGACTCCGGGGCAAGGCCTCTCAGGGAAACTAGCCTAACAAGTCAGCGCGGCCGATGGCCCAGGAGTAACCAGGAGGGCGCCACAGGGTGCGCTAGCGCAGCTCGCTGTTGGGGTTTTTCTCACAGATAGAATTTTTGCAAAGGCGGCTTCAAACCTAAGGCTCTGTCACTAACCTGCCGTCTCCAAACCTGCTCCGTGGAGGAGCCTTCGGTCTCCACGGCCCCGCAGGGAGCGGCGCGTCTGGCGCCTCCAGCCCGCCGCGGTCAGCCGGCCGCCAGGGGGCGCGGGAGCCTGGTCTTCCGGGGGCGTCCACGGCTGCCAAGGCCCGGCCGGATGTCCCGCCCCGGCGCCCCGGAAGGAGTCGCGAGAGAGGCGGCACGGTCTGACAGTGTCCCTGAGCCTCCGAGCTCGTCCCGCTGGCCCCGGCGTCGCCGCCCCGCGCAGTGCCCAGCCCGGCCCCGCCGACCCGCCTCTACCGCCGGCTCCGCGGCCTTCCCCGAGGGCTGGATGATGGGCGCTTTCGCCCTGCAGACGGTGGACACCGAGCTGACCGCGGACTCGGTGGAGTGGTGCCCGCTGCAAGGCTGCAGGCACCTGCTGGCGTGCGGGACCTACCAGCTGCGGCGGCCGGAGGACCCGCCTGCCGACCCCCCGAGCAAGGTGCGCGCGTCGCGGCTTAGGGAGGGGAGGGGAGGGTGGGGTCGGCCACGAGGTTGAGGCCGAGAGGCGCACAGAATCGCCCAGGAGGTGAAGAGGGGATGTTGGCCGTTTCGCTAGGACGTAGGTCAGAAACAGTTTAGAATCTTTTTAAAAACATTATTCTCGTCCGGGCGCGGTGGCTCACGCCTGTAATCCCAGCACTTTGGGAGGCCGAGGCGGGCGGGTCACGAGGTCAGGAGATCGAGACCATCCTGGCTAACACGGTGAAACCCCGTCTCTACTATAAAAATACGAAACAATTAGCTGGGCGTGATGCGGGCGCGTGTAGTCCCAGCTACTGGGGAGGCTGAGGCAGGAGGATGGCGTGAACCCGGGAGGCGGAGCTTACCGTGATCCGAGCTCGCACCACTGCATTCCAGCCTCGGCAATAGAGCAAGACTCCGTCTCAAAAAAAAAAAATGTATATATATTCTTTTTTTCTGAGATAAGGTCTTGCTCTGTCACCCAGGCTGGAGTGCAGCCTTGGACTCCAGGGCTCAGGGCATCCTCCCGCCTCAGCCTGCTGAGTAGCTGGGACCACAGGCAGGCGCCACCGCCCCCGGCCAACATTAGAATCTTGAGAGCAGAAAGTCTTCTATATACAGGTGTGGCCCAAGCTAATGGATGGAATCTACAGTAAAGAGAAAGTGGGAATCATACCTTAACTTCTGGTAGGTACATATTAGAATTCAAACTGGGCACTGAACAACAGGCCTAAGTCAGGACCGTCCCAGGCAAACTGGGTTCTGTGGTTACCCTAGCCATAGCTGGTCCCTGTTGGCCAGTTGAGAAGGAGCCCTCTCTGCCGGATCCAGGAGTGTTCACCTACTCATTAATCATATGCAGGAAAATAGACGTTTCTCCAGCTCAGACAACCAGAGGTTCTTCCAGGCAGAATTCCACTCCGTCAGTCATGGCAAACCTTTGAGTTCCTTGGATCCCTTTTCCCATCCCTTGGGTTCCTTGGTGTCTTGGGGGTAATCAGAGAATACCTCTGCATTTTTTGTAGGGTAGAATGGAAGTTGAGGAGCCTCGAGTCCGCTTAGGCCGTCTCTTCCTATACAATTTCAATGAGAACAACTGTACTCACCCTCTGGTCGAGGTCCAAAGAAAAGATACTTCTGCAATCCTGGACATGAAATGGTACAACTGTGATAATCCCCCTGGGTCTAGAATTTGTCATGAGTGGCAATCAGGGGAGCCTGATGCTTGATGCCTTCAACAAGACAGGC